AAAAACTTACCTTCCCTAGGCTGGGGATCCCACAGATGGCATGAGTTAAAACCCAAAAATGAATTCTGGACGACAGACGATGGATGACATGCCCATGTTAGAACCAAAGTTGTCACAAAATCTTTATTTCCAAACTAAAAGATCTATTCCGTAATGCAACGTCGCATAAATTACGAAGATTAATTTAGTCTCGTACCCAGACCTTCCATGGCCAAGCGGTGATTACATTTCAGTTGCTGTTGAAAAGTAGGTTCGAACATCTGGACTCAGCCAAATTGTACGCGCTCTTATAGAATAAAGAGTGTGGTTTTTCCAGAGAGGTGGGTGTCAAAGGGTTTTTTACGTGATTGTAATTAACCGTTTAACTCCCATGAGTGACCAAGACAGAATTTCTCTCTACATTATCATCATAATATCAAGCAGACAAGTGATGAAAATAAAGAAAACATCAATAAGGGATTATTAGTTAATGCAATACCAACTTCTCCGAGATAACATCATATGAATTGCATAGCAGACAGTTAAGAGAATTTCTAACAAGATCTTGGGAGTTGAAGGATTAAGGCCAAAATTTATGTGATGCGTGAATTTTCCAGAAAGCGAGGCAACGTGTTCCGTGAACTTACGAATCAGCGCGAGGCGTGATTCGTTTCCAGAAATTTACGTGACTAGTGAATTTTTCTTTCATTTAGGAGCATTAACGACTAACACTTGAGTCCACTTTTAAAACGTTAAGACTTTCCCTGATTAGTGATTCACGTTACACAACATTTCTCCGGAGATAGGCCCACGGCAAGTAGGGCAGCGGGAGTCACCTTTCCTTTTATGCTCTGCCACACATGTCCTACAGTACAGCAAATGAGTGCAGGGCATAATGATACAGTCACGTGGGTTTTCAAAACAAATCTGGCACAGCCGCCCTCCTTTGGCTTCTTCCAGCTCCTTTTCTAATTCTCGTATTCTTTCGGAGCTTTTCGATTTGCTCTCTTCTGCATCTTTCACCCTCTGTTCGAACTCTTTTCGCAGTTTTTCAGAGTCAAGCTCGCGTTGATCATCAAAGTACTGGCGAAGTTCCAAAAGAGCCGCTTCATGCTTTTTGTCTAACTCAGCCTGTCCTACTCTCAATGTGTTCAGTTCGTCTTTGAGAGCCAGGTTCTCGTCCTTCAACTCAGCCGCGCATTCACGCAGTGCTAGGAGCTGGGATCTAATGGGACTCATCTGCGTAAGCTTTACAGCAGTTTCTTTGTCAATTTTAGAGCAAGGCAGCTGACCTGGAAAAGGTTTCAAAAAAGCGAAAAAGGTTTCAACTTTCAACTGTTTTTTACTTAGTTCAATGATCAGTATATATTGTAAATTATCGAGTATCGGGTGCAAGACGCACGTCACGGCGCATATACACCATATACACAAGCAGTGTCCACAACTTTCAACTTCTCTCCTTATCAGAGCACATTTTTCTTTCCGATTAAATACCACAGCCAAAGTTAGCATTACTTTCTCACTCGTTATGAGTTCACCGTTCAGTCTTTCAAAAGATTCACAATAAAATGACGCATTTCACTTTTTCATCAGGCCATCTAGTTAAAACTAACCTTGACCTTGTTTATACTCGCGGTACTCTGTGACACCATGTGGCCAGGTGAAGAGAACACAGCCGTCCAACGACCCGTCCTTCCAATTCCCTTCTTGAATGGTTCCATCCGGACACTTCAGGGTCCCATATCCAGTCATTTCATCATACTGCCACTGACCCTCGTATACGACCCCGGACACAAACGTCATTTTCCCCTTGCCATGCCTGAAAATAAAATAAGTAGTTTGGGCTAAAGTCTTTTGCTTTCCAATTCGAGAAAAGATCGACAATTAACGTGAGGGGCTAAAGCAAATTCTGAGTTAGGCCGGATGAGAGTATATTAAAAGGAAGGGAAAGAGAAATGGAGGAAGCAAGATAACTATAAATGCATTTTTCTGATCGTTCAAAACCCGTCTGGAAGGGCCACAGTTAACTCTCTCAAAGATAGATAACTTCTTAATGGACAAACGAGTCCCCCATAGATCATCATAGACAGGACTTAGCTTTCCAAAGACAGTGGAGATTTATTCTGATTAAAACTTTAGATCGGCTGGGATGGACTCTCTGTTTATCAGGGGAGGTGTTCCTTTCGAAGGAGTTAACTTAGTCTGCACTTTGCTCTTACCCTTCAAAATTTTTTGTCCATAAAATCTACTAATTTCACTACGGAAAGAAAATGGTGTCTACGAGTGCACCGTCAAAATTATGTTCAACGTACCTCATGTTGTTTTTCCATCCTCCACTGTAGAATCCATTTTCGATAGTGCCTGGGCTGCTACCCACTAACGGCACTGATAGAATAAGTCCTTCACCTTTGCCATGTCGCTTGCCTGCAGTGCAAGAAATAAGTTCAAAGGACATCATCTAATCGCTTCACTGATAATTTAGCACCGTTTATGAAGACTCCTGGACAGAAGGGAAAAAAGCTTCTAAAAGGGTACGGAGAAGAATCATGGCGATGTGTAAGAGGTACCTTAAACGCGAGGGAAGTGGAGAGGATGAGTAGGGTACAAGAAAGGAACGAGTACAAGAGGTCCTAATCTCCTTGGCAATCTAATCTAATGCAGAACCATCTGTGTTCATCAACTCAATCCTTACACAGTCTCCTTTTCTTTATTAATCGTTTGCATTTACTTAAGAGGGTTGTCCCCCCCCCTTTTTTTTTCTTTATTTATCCTTTGCATTTACTCAAGAGGGTTGTCCTTTTCGTTTAATTTCAATTAGTTATCTTTCCATGTCAACATTTAGTTATTTCCATCACGGTAATTTCCATACCGCAAAAAAAAAAAGGAGTCAAAATATCCCGCCAATGCAGATTACCTCTGCACCAGTCTCCATTGTATAAAAGCTTCCCTGTCACGGTTTTTAGGGTTCCAAATCCATGAGGAAGTTCCCGCTGACCACTCGTCCCAACCCTGACGGCTCGAGAGCTTAAGGGCCGCTCATCCTGACATACATGATGTAGGACATCGTCGCTAGTTATTGCCTTAACTTCTTGGTTGGTGTAAGGGTTTCTTGCATAGTAACACGGCATTTTGGTTTTAAAAGCGATCTCTTCGAGGTCGGAACGAACTGTCAGTATGTTAACTTGACGGGATTCTGTAAAATAACAAGGACACGAAAGCAAATTGTTGAGAATGTACATTGTTTAAAATTTTTTCATGTAGTGTTAAGTACTACTTCACCTTGACCCTCTCTAGAAGATGCACCATCGTTAGGCGGGTCAGCAGATTCGTCAGTCATCATCGAGTTCACGGCGACCATTCTTTGAAAAAGTCCTCTTTGAATTTCTGCAGAGCGCATTAAGGCCTCTAAGGGGCTTTTGAGCTCACACAGGAGAGTTCCTAGATCACAATCCTGATTCTTTCCAGCGCTTTTCTCGTCACTCGCCTTGGGCCCCGGGAGAACATCATTTTCATCTTTAGGTTCAGCAGCTCGCTTTTCCAGTTTCAGCAACACAAGTCTGTAGAGAGAATTCTGGATTTGCATGCATTTGATAATGCTCTCAAGGATGGAGTCCATAAGTTCCTTCCCTTCTGAAACAGTCACGGTTGGCGCTGGCTCTACCTCGTCAGCTGGGGGGAGAAAAACTTTGCTAGGGTCTGCAGAAGTTTGCGCCGTAAAATTTATTATCGGAGAAAAGGAAAACTTGTGTGATGGTTGCGCTTGAGTGCGAACTGTGCCAGGATCTGTGGCCACTGAAAAGAAAGTTAAAAACAGTTGAGTATTTGCCGCACTGAATTTAAATAATTAAGAAATTTCCCTGTTGTAAGGATACCTGCTCTCGTGAGCTCCCTCGACAAGTTTCCCCACTTACCGCACCCTCGCTTTTTCTGTCTGGCAGGATAGACACATCAATAGAAATAAGAGGGGAACGGGGGACTTTCCTTTTTTTCGTGTTACGTCAACTGACTGAAAGGTGAAACGGTCTCGTTAATCATGTTAAGTGGAATTGCGGAGATCAAAATCTGATCCTGCCAGTTATTTCATCAGTTGTTGTCGGTTAAAGCTTTTAATTTGTAGCGAGATAAGGAATGTTAGGTTATCAGCTTGTTTTTAAACGTGTTTTTTTTTCCTTCCCTTACCAGCCACTCCAGATACGATCCCATCATCAAAGCCAGAATGACTATATATTTTTCTGCCAAGCGTTTTCTGCCTATCAAGATATTCTTTTCAATTGTTTCATTTACACTAAAAAGTAAAACGTAAGGTGCTAGAAGAAAATTTAAGCTACACTCAGTTAAGCAGGCCAGGCATAAAGGTGACGGTGTGAGGTTTCTTACTTTGGCTTGCAAAAACCACCGCACTGGATGATTTAGACCAAATATTTGCTGCCTTCTGTTTCTCTTGATTGAAAGGACCAGATGTGGAGGATTTGACTGCTCTTCTTTGGGTATCAAACGTAGCGTAACTGCTAAAGAATCATGAACAGGCTCATAAGTTCAGCGGTTAAAGTTAACTAACAAAGCGTCTCCTAATTGTTTCCCATACCATGAAATAGCCTTTGATTACGGAGCATGAAGTATCCCTACTCTCCGAAATAAGTGGTAACACTAGCATTACCGACATGACTCTTCCCTCCCCCCTTTAAAACAAAAATCCAGGGTAGGGAGGGCACTTCTTAATCAAGATTGAAGTGTTTTCCCAAAAACACAACCTAGCCCAATAAATCCTGACTGCACGTATACTTTTGAAAATATTTAGTACGTAATATGTTTTGCAAAGTCATGGATCTGTATTTTAATGTAATTATGGATATTTTACATGGGACAATATGTGTCGTTAAGTAGGACTCCTATTTTTGTTCTTGTTTTTCTTTCTGATAATTTCCCAGACTTCTCAAGGTATTCATAGTCTTCTAAGCGCAACTCCTATAAGTTAAAAAAGTATATCAGTGAGTTTTCCTTCATCAAGCATTAAATATTAACAAATTTTTCACTTGGAGGAGGAACATCATATTCAGGATTACAGTCTATTCATTCAAGTCATCTCTGACTTCTTTACTGTCCTTGAACATTCTGGAGGAGACAAACTCTTCAGTAACACAAATAAAATAACCGTCTTCATTGGATTGAGAGTTGTAAAACTAAACCAAAGTTAAATCACAACTGAACAAAGAAAAGGATGAACCTATGGGAACTCATTTAATAAATGTATTAATATATAAGATATCAAGACCTCAAGTGACTGGTCAAGAGGCTGCTGGTGGTTTTCCAAACCAATCACAGAGCAATTGCAAATGCAATTGTGAATAACTCGCAAGAACCAAGTAAAACTTGCTCTGAATGCTTCTTACTTTTGCAAAGCAGTTTTAAAACTAAGGTACTTGAAAGATATAATTCCCTCAGGGTGTTGCACATATTATGGCAGACATTTCATTCAAGACTTGATATAGAGTCTTATTTTGATCTGAGCACTGAGACTTGTCCTTGTCCTCTTTTAGTCTCTGGGTGTTTGATCATGCCACAAAGAGACAACTTCAAAGGAGACTCGTTAACTCTTATTATTATCAATCCTCAATGATATATATGTTTAAAGAAACAGACATAAAATTTAGTAGTATTAAGACTAGTAGTATCTCAAAGGCAAATAATGAGTCACTAAATTGATTTCCTTACTTACATCAGTACTCTTCCTACAGTAAACATTCATTGCTGTTATGTTTTGAAGCCTTTCTTTGTATCCCAAAACATGATCACTCAATGACTCTACTGTGACCTAAAACCACAAAATATAAAATTTAGTTGGTAAAAAGATACATGTATTTCTGAATTTTTGGTGGTGTCAAACTGACAAAAGAAATATTGGTGTGCACAAAATTTTGCAATTTCTGTCAATGATAGCATACTTTACTAGATGAAATAATTTGTGTCTCAATTAAAATGGAAATAAATAAAAAAGAGCCTGAAAAGTTGAAACATAAAAAGCTTGTAATAGTGAAATGGCTATGACCTCTCTAAAATAAGTGTGAAATATCACCAAAAGGCACAGGTTTGACTTTAGAGCAGCTTTAGTAAAATACAAACTCCTGCATTTTTTTTACTTCTTCAAAAGTTATATTGTAATAACAATAATTATGATAATAAACATTATCAAATCACTGGTAGTTCCTGTGGGCAATATGGGGGAATCCTGTGTTCTGGTTGGCTGTACCCAAGGGGGTGAGATGGGCCCATCTTGCTACCCCAGGAAATGCCTGCTTTTATCCTGCACAAGAAAACATAGTGTGGAGCCGGCTGACTAACAGAGTTTGTAATTTTTGGACAATGTTGGGGACCGAATTGCAAAAAGAAACAGCAGGAGACAATAAAAACAAAGAAAACATAGCTGATTATGATGAAACAGGTACTGTTTATGAGTTAAAGTCAGCAAAGATTTGCTTTAAATCATACTAAACTGACTTCTAAAATTATCTTACACAAAATGGAATAGATGTCCCAGTTAATGTCCAGGCTGGGGGTAGAATTACTGAAACAGAAGTAATATGAAAATAAGCATTTCAAAATGAAACAGCTACCTTGTTAGGAAAGAATAGATAGAGAGGGTTTTCTTGAGGACCCAACAATTTAAAGGAAATCCTCATGTCAAATTGGTCTCAAGCATTTCAACTAAGAAATAGATTCCATGCTGCAGTATATCTGTTCAGTAATAGATCACAGAATATGTCCCAATGTGGTAACAGTGGCACAAGAGACACAACCAAGTGTATCACTGATTTCCTCACCTAATTTTGATATCTTCTGCACATGTTTACAGTAACTTTAAAAACCCACAGCAACATGGAATCTACTTGCTTATACATCTATTTGCTATGTGATGTATTACTATCCAATCTTGAACCCTTTACCATTGATTTAAAGACAAAGCAAGGCAAATTAACTGAACACGTATCAAACACAAGGAAATTCAGACATAAAATTGACATATTTTACTTAGCTTACATGGAAGCAAGGTTGTTTCTCCTGAGTAGATAAGACTCTCTTGACTATAAATGTCATTGTTATACACAACATTTATAGAAATAGCAACTTTTTTAGCTGACATTTTGGACAACTTTAGAGATGATCATCCACTAAGCATGCCAGTACCTGAAGTACACATAAAAACAATAACTAACAACACTGATTAATCATGATATGATATTCACTTGGACTGAATTTTTGATACCATCATGTGTTACTAATGCCTGTGCCAGAGGAAAAGATGAAAAACACTGACTAAAAACAAATTAATGATGGGAACAATTTAATTACAACTGAATTAGTGTAATATTGACCTATATATGATAAGTAAATTTCACTAAAGTTTCAAAGTTTTGGGTAACATTCAGTATAGAAGGAAGACAAAAACACAACACAAGATACTTCAGGAAAGCAAGTTTGAACAGACATATCATTACAAAGTTATCTACACACACCATATGATCCAAAGCCTAACCATTCTATTTATTCCATATGTTCATTGTTTGCCTTGCTGATCCAAACAAAGACAAGATAAAACTAAATTAGTGTTTAGTTCACACGTTTTGTAGCAGCACAGGGTAAAACTGATATGCATAGGTGAAAGTTTCAAAGAAAATCTTCCAATTGTGTAAAATGTCTACCTGCTGAATTCATGTTGTTCACAGTCACTCCCTACTTCTCCAACCTTGAGAATGGATCATATTTTAGAATAAGAGAGCTCCTTTCCAACAATCCATAGCAACCCCGAAACATACAAACAATTGAGGCCCAAAGGAGAACTCCTTCTTTCCATACCATCCCATCCCCCCGCATTAAAAATGTTTATGAAATTATCAATCTTGTCTAACAAGATTTATAGCCTCCCTCAGAGAAGTTGTTTGATCTTTATTGACACCCAACATCCTCTATCTTTTTAACAAAATGAGTTACATGACAAAAAAACATATTTTCAAACACAACCGTTTTTCAAATTGCGGTGCGAATCTTGACCGAAACTAAGTGAACAATACCTGGATGAAAGAGGTGAAACCCTTGAGAGGAAACATTGCAAAAGTCATAACCCCTATTTGTTGGATAAATTGGCAATAATTCTTGATACGGTATGCTGGCTCCATAGAAGACTGATTAGTCACCTTTCTGGAGAAGTTCGTATAGTTGATCCTATCAAGCCGATTTTTCAGGAATAACCGGCTTGATATGCAAAAATCACAGTGGGTAAAAGCTCCACCACGTTCAGCAGTACGAGGATCAGAAAACAGGTTTAAGCGTTTAGAATTGAAATTTATTACAAGAATTATTTCTTAACTCGGTATACACAGAACTGATGAGTTTTTCGTTCTTCTCGTGTTCCATTTAACGTGTGTGAAACTAGTCTTAGATGCTTCCTGAATAATCAAATATCTGGGTCACAAATGCACGGAAGTTAAAATTGCCAACTGCACTTTGTACAAGTACGGCAAACGGACTCTAACAACAAACAAATTACGGTGGACATCGAGTTGTGCTAGTGGCTCGAAGAATCAGTTTAAACGATGGTGATATACAGTGGAAAATGTTGCTGCTATCTGCCATTCAACGTTAAAAAAACGTCAGTTGAAATTGCTCTGTTCTCAAAGAATCGAAAGTAATTTGCTTCCGGCATAAGCCATTACAATAAACTAAACCGGCTGAGGAAAATTAAAGGGCTTTGCTAATCTCCATTTAACACTGCCAGCTGAACTTCATCTTACAACCCTACATAATAAAAATGAAAAAAGAAAACATACACACCTCTCTTGAAATGATAGTAAAGCTACAATTCCTGCGAAGTCGTTGCAAAACATCATGTACAATATTCCCGAAAAGCCTCATGGGTAGTGCCGCGAAGTTTCAATATGGCGACAGCACGTAAGAGTATAGTAAAATGTTCATTTCCTTGAAATAAAAATCCACGATCGAGTCTTCTTTAACTCTACCTAAAGAATTTAGTTACGCGGCTTTACTCAAGTAGGCTGTTTGATCTCTCAGTCTACTTCACTTCAATCATGAAAAATAGAGACATATCTCCGCAAACAAGGTCTAAGTTGTGCAAACTCATCATCTACCTTTCTTCCTGTTATTCTCTATTTTCTTTTATAAAAGGAGACAGTTACGCCCCCTTTTTACCATTCTTACCGTTGTAAAATACTTGATTTAGGTTGAATGGCCAGCCGTAATTTTATTGTGAAATTAATAAGATAGAGAGACCTATGCCAAAAATTCATTGTTCAATTTCTCTCAGCGATAACATTCGCCTTCTACGGAAAATTAAATTTTTCCAGTTGAAGTCCAAGGATTTACAATTCAAACGAAAAAAGGAGTGGATAGATAGCGCGTCAAAAGATTGCTTTTCGATAAAAAAAAAAAAATGCGGTTTTGACCGGAGTACATGATAAAATCAACTATTAGGACACTTGATAAAAAGCAAAGTCCCCCAAAAAGTTTGTTTGTGAAACAGTCAGCTGGAATTTGCTTGCTCGATTTCATCGTCAGTTTTGGTATCTGAGTTCAATAAATTAACAGTTTCTTTGGAGCTATTCTGCTCGTAAAATCCTTGAGAAGTGTCTACATTTTCCATGACTTTGGGACCGTTCTCAGGTGCAATCTCCATGTGAGTATTTATGGCGTCATCATCTTTGGGAATGCTCTCGATATCGACATCTGTGGGAATGCTCATTGCATCAATATCCTGGGGAATGTTTACATTTCCGATATCTTTGGGATTGTTTTCATCATTGTTCTGAGGAACGTTTAAAGTTTCGCAATCATTAGGAAAGCTTCCGTCTTCATTGTCCTTGAGAGCATTTACATTCTCGAAACCTTCTTTGTCATTTCCATCTACAATTTCACCCTCCTCTCCTCTAGATTCAACTTCCAAATTTTGAGGAAGTGCTGAAGGACCATCAACGGAAGCTTCTTTTATTTCATTGCTATTCCTTTCTCCCGCTTCTAACTCGGTTGGGTCAGGTTTCTGTTCGAGTGGTTCAAACCTACTTCTTCTTCTCGAACCATTCCTAGAAGCATCCCTTTCACCATTGACGTCCCTGTGTGATCGATGCTCGTCGCGCTCACGTCGTCGGTCATCACGATCGCGGTCACGATCACGCCCTCTTTCACGGTCTCGGTCACGTTCACGATCGCGAACACGATCGCGATCACGACCGCGATCACGAAAACGGTCATCCCAGTCTCGGCCTCGACCACGATCGTCGCGTTCTCGACGGTCACGATCATCTCGATCACGTCCACGATCTCGGTCCCGAGGCCGTTCACGATCTCGATCCTCATGCTCCTTTCTTGGCCTTCGGTCTCGCTCTTCATTGGGGATATCAATGGTTTTATCTTGGTTAGCTGTGTTTATCTCTTCCGTATGATCTTCACCTTTCTTTTGTTGCTCATTCCATTCTTCAGGCGCCTCAGAATTATGAGCATCCTCTGGTAGTCTACCCTCTGGCCAACCAGGTGGTGGAATACCATGAGGCGGTGGACCTCTCATAGGACCAGGCCCTGGTCCCCAAGGATTTGGACCAGATGGGCCAAAGTCTGGAGGACGCATTGGTCCTCCAGTGGGCACGAGAGAAGGTAGATCATGAGGGAACCTAGGTCCTCCTGGATGAAAATGTGGCATTCTGATGTGATGAGGTCGGTGTTGGAATGGGTGTGGTCCGTGATGCACAGGAGGGAAATGACTGTCTGGAAATCTACTAGGATGGTGAGGAAAAGGCGGCCCATCCTGAGGTCTGACTGGGTTGTGTGAGGGATGTTGTCCTCGTTCTTGAGGTCTACTAGGATGATGGGGAGGAAATTGATTAACTTCATGCGGTCTGGCCTGGTGGTGACCATCCTCATCTTTGGGAGGAAACTGACTAGAATCTTGTGGAACCCCAGAAGGAGGGAATCGGCTGTTTTCTGACTGAAACTGCCCTCCTTCTTGAGGTCTGCTTACGTTTGAAGATGGACCTGGCGGGCCCTTAAGAGCTCCTACAGTTGGTGGTCTGGTTGGATTAAACTGATGTAGTGAGGGACCACCTATATTCGGAGGCGGTACTCCTGTCATAAGTGGAGGTGGTGCTCCTGGTGGTACCATGTTGGGAGGCAGATGAGCTCCAGGGAACGGATGCTGCATCAACATCGGTGGAGGAATCAAAGGAGGATGGCCTGGGAACATGTGTGGTCCCGGTGGGCGAACGTGAGGAGGAGCCTGTCCAATTGCGTTCACAGCCTGAGGTTGCTCTGTACTCTTCTCATCAGTTGCTGCTTGAGCGGCTGCCAGCTTCATGAGCTCTTCTTGACTCATATTTCCGAGATCTTTATCATCTTTAATAGTATTTGTGTCTGCACTACCGGCCTCTGATCCTGTAGAGAAAGACCACAACAAAGAGATGAAGGAGGTCGTACAAACTATCAAACGTTGTTGATCGTTTTGTTTCGTTTTTTAAACTGATAACTTGTGGGATGGGACTTAATATGCTTGTCATTCCCTGAATAAAGTGCTGATTGCAGTTTCAATTGCGAGGAAATATGTACTCTTTCTTAGTAATAATATTTAAGAATAACAACAACTTAAGCTTTTCCGACCCAGAGATATGTATAAGCAAAACTACACGTACCCTCCTTCATAGTGTTCTGATGTCCCGGTGGTACAGTTTCTGGGTCAATCCAACTTCCTTCACTCAGAGTTTGTAGATCCACATTAGTTCCCAGCTTACTCCAAGGGATGAATGTTACACCTTGCTCTGTATCGAAATATTCTTTGTATTCTCTGCCTTTCACTCCTTTTCCAGGCGCCCAAGCCAACTGCAACAACACATCAATAATGTCATTGTAATGATGAATATCATTGCAGAGGTCTCACAGGGAAAGAATTATTGAAGAGTCCTTCACCCTTTGATCCCTAAAAGTGACTAGTATCTAATTTCTCCTTACAATATCACCCTTGAATCAAACATTAAGGTCACAAGAATAAAGGAATTGATCACCGACTAAAGAATATCTTCATTGCTATACAAATTCTCCTTGTCAGCACCTTAAGAAAAGCATAGAGAGCAGGAAATTCAACCTCGCACTTGATGCCCCTGAGACTTCCTTACAATCAATCTGGCTCCGATGTTTTGCAACAGTACATACTTAATGCAATGACATAATTTTGGTCATTCAAGTTACTGCAAACTTATTTAAAAGTGAGTGCATGGGGCCTCAAATTTGATGTTTTTAAAAAGTTAACTATAGCAAACATCTCAAGTTTGCTACAAAAAAGTCCCTCGAGCCCACAGAATTTAACTGCAGAGTTTGAAGAACTCCTCATATTTACACCTTAACATTACACCCTCACATTAACCACATCCCATTATGTTAAGATAAGACAGGTGGAATACAAACCTTGAGGTAATTACCATGAAGCCTTTCATTCTTTAAGGTAACCAGCACTTTTAAAGCTTCTTGTCTTTCTGCCATCACAACATAAGCACAACCTCTGGGTGGGACCATCTGTACAAATTAGACAGGTCACTTATCAAAAGATTTTATTAACCACTTTACATAATACAACATACCTGAGTAAAAGTGATCCAAAGGAAAAGACTGTTGAGTATTTGTATCCTTAGGATCAACATCACAGTAAGAAATTCAACTTGTGAAAACAGAACCTGATAAAACTCAGGTAATTTAGTGTTGGGTTGAAAATGTAAATTAGCCACCGTAAAGGGTAAATGCAAAGACTAGCAAAAACTAACGATAAAAACCGACGTAAAGGGTAAAAACTGATAAAAAAACTGATAAAAAAACTGATTAAAAAAAAAAACTGATAAAACTCAGGCTTGATCAGGATTGGACCCCATACCATTTGTTAAATTAATAAAGGTTATTGAACTGCATGGGGTGCAATTTGGTTTTAAATCATATGCATGATTTCAAAACCAAGCAAGTGCATTGCAAAAGTTGTCTTTCCTTTTCCTGCAATTTTTTTTGGTTACTTTAAACAAGCCTTAAAATTGGATTGGTTGTTAAGTTTTAGTTTAATTCTAATTGAGTGGAAAAAATGGGCAATTTAAAGCCAAAAATGGTGTGATTCATTAAAAAAAAAAAAACACACTGATGATAGCCAATCAGATTGCAAGGATCACCAGTGATTTCAAATAGATGTAATAAATCTGGTAATTAACTTTGCAAGTAAAGCAAAGTCATGGAATCAGAAAGAGACAATCAACATCAAGCCGCAGATTTGCAAACTTGTAACTGACCGCCCGTCTCTATTATATCATCATGTTCCATAGTATTGGCTCCCAGACACTGATTCTGGACTTTATTTGAAGCTACTGATTGCTAATCAGGCTCTCACCAACTTTCAACTTACATCAATAGATGAAACTGTGAACTTCTTGGTCTCAAACGTCTCCTGTAAATTTTCCCTCATCACTGTCTTAGCCAAATGTCCAACCCAGATTGTTGTACTACAAACTAAATAACAGCAGAACACGTATCAGTTTCATGCCCCTGTATTATGATGCTTTTCAGATTTTCTTTAAGGATTTCACATGCCAAATTTTTGAACCAGGTTGTTTCACAAAACACTAAAGAAAAAATGCACAAATCAAGAGAAATTTTTTGGTCATATCAAAGTGTTTTAAAAATTTTCTTTCTTGTGAACCTTTTCAATTGTTGTGCATCAGTTTTCATTTGAATGTTCACCAACTAATGAAACCCTTTGCATGTAAATTTAACAAATCCAAGATAACAGGTATCACCAAAGCCATGAACAAGCACACATAAAATGTCCAGGTATGATAAGAACTAAAAGGTCAGATACTTTTATCAAACTCTTATCTTATATCTACAACTGATCAACTTCACTGCGGTAAAAATTTGGACTTAATCTTCAATCTTTCATTTTGTTAAAAGTTTCTCTGTGGCTTAGACAAATTCTTCTTTTACTACTTGCATACTAAAATAACTCTTTCAGAAAAAAAAAACATACCACTAAGTGTTTCCTTCTTTGGTGCTGGAATCCAATCTTTTCTTTTCTCAACTTCTCTGTCACTGCCACGACCTCTCTCTTTATCTCTTTCCCTCTCAGAGTCGCGATCTTTGTACCAATCCCTGTCTCTTTCCCGATTCCGCCCTCTGTCCCTATCCCTTTCCCGGTCTCTTTCTCGATCTCTTCCATGAGGTGAGCGTGATCGTCGTCGAGGTGATCGATCTCTCCACCTAGGACTCCTGCTCCGTCTTCTTGGAGACCTAGATCGATGGTAATAGCCAGGAGATCTTTCTCTAGAATGCATATCAGGAGACCTTCTCCCAAATGGCCCTGGTACAGAATAACAATTCCAGTGGTGAGATATGAATGCTTGCTCAGGATTGTGTACATGTATGTGGCCTAGCAGCTACATGAGGCAAACTTTCCAGTTAATTTGCAGCATTCTACCCACTATCATGGTTGTTAACTCCAATTAATACATAGCCTTCAAGAAAATACATTAGACTGTAACAAGTTATACCCAGTACTGCTAACTTTTCAACAACTTAGAAAAAAAGAACACAAACAAAACCCCTGCCTCTTAAACTCTAAGTAGGAAGCTTGCATTTTATTTGCTGTAATTCTTTAATAACACATGCATACTGCTAACACGCATACTGCTAGGATGCGAGATAATGCAGGATACCTACACTTTCCTTGTCTTAAAGATTGCAAATTTTTGTGTTAAAATATATGTAAAAATTAGCTGAGAGGAAAGGAATAGAAATGAGGGAATCAGGGAGGAGAGGAAAAAAGAAAAGCAACATATGTGACTTAAAATTACATTTAACATGAAAAATCTGTAGGAAAGCATTAAAAAGGTGTGTGATTTTCATCCAAAAGAAGTCTAGTACCTGCAGGATCAGGATGTCGGTCATGAGATTCCCCTACTGGTCGGAAAGTGCTCTGAAATTCACCTTGTAAGTCACCCAAGAGAGGACGAGTTCTAAGAATTATAAATATTCAATGGTATTAAAATATATACCTAACTAAATTAGAACAGAAAATTGTGCCACACTGTTACTGGTTAACATTGTTAACTGATAGCTTTGCCAAAAAAAATGGAAAGACAAGGACAGGGACACTTCACAAAAAATCTGTGACACAGTTCAGGGGAAAACCTGCAGGGACTGTTTACATTATTCACTACAAGCACAAGGAAAACAAAATTGCAGCAAAGAGAATATAAATGCTCCTTTGAATCTGTATAACTATTGGAACTCATGTATGGTATTGCCACACTAAAGGCTTTCTATTCCCTGTACAGAACTGTCTTATAAATTGGCAAGTGTTGACTTACTCTTGGCTCAGACGCCTCTCTTCCTCCATCAAATGCCGTCGTTGCTCAGCAATTCTTGCAGCATCATCATCATCATCCCCATAATCAAAATCATCTATGAGAGTCTAAGGAACATGAAGCAGATTCCTTAAGCAAGAATATGCCATTCATAAACAATGGTATTTCATAGTAAAACTGAAAAAAGACATACTGGGCTTCAAGAATGAGATGTTTGTGGCAAGGGATTCAATTAACCTTTTTTCTAGTTAGCTAGGCTCTACATGACTTTTGTGTACCACAATTAAATATTCCTATAATACCAAACATAATTATTTAAAAAGTTCTTAATTAACCATGCTCATCTTTCACAACCACAAAGACAAAAAAGAAGGCTGATCAACACTGTGCAGATTACTCACTGGTCTCCTCTCCTCTCCAGACTGGGGACCAAGTTGAGTTCCAGGATCCATTTCATTAGGAACCCAGGCAGGCATGCCCCTGGAGGGTCCAAAATTAGAGCCATCTGCAAATCTTGTAATTTGATTGGGTTGTAAAGAGTCATCACCATTCCCTTGGGGAAGAAGTGCCTGAGATGAACTTATCAATGAGTCTGGTGCAGCAGACTTGTTTGTCTGTGGCATTCGTATATTCATACCTATAACAAAATTATTATCTAAACATAAGTTCAAAGAATTTTAATTAGCACTTAATTGAGAAGACTTCAAAATTTGGCAATATAGGACCAAAATGACATGTAAAAGGGAATCTGAAATTTTTAAAGGGAACTAGAAGTGGGCCATAATGTCAATCAAGCCTATAGCATAATTTCAAGGATTAGACAAGGTCATCTAGAGTCAAATTATTCTCCCTTCTGCCATTGTTTGAGTCCTACTTGCTTCTTAGTTAGAACAAAGAGCCTGTGACAATTCAGAGCAAGAACTTGACCTAAAAGAAAAAAAATCTGCATGACAAAGTCATGATTGATTTGTCTGTAGTTGTTTGGTTGACAGGATTGCCAAGTTTTCTAGACAAATAACTGAGCATGGTATTACAAAAACAATACAATCCAGCACTATTATTGAATTTTTTGGAAATTTCATCAAACCATGGTAATTTTCACCTGTAAGGGCTTGGATCTGTGCATAAACCTCTGGCTGCAGTTGAAACTTAGGCTGCTGTTGTCCCACTACTGTTGGAGGTATGCTGCTTCTTTGAGATTCCGCCATTGCAGATGTGCTCCCTTCTGTTTGGTGTGGAGGCTGGGTTTCCTGCGGTACTGTGACCACCCCTGGTGGGAGAAGCTGTTGCTGCCTCAGCTGCTGTTGTTGTTGTTCATTTATGCGCTGCTGCTCTTGAAGCTTCTGCTGAAGAAGCTGAATCTGTCGTAAATGTTCCTGCTGCTGCTCCTCAAGACTGGTGGAACCTGGATTAGTCATTGCTAGGGTGGCTTGATTCTCTGGCACTTCTACAGCAGATGCATTGACTGTCTCTGTAGCAGGTAGCAATTCACTCTCTGTATAAAAACATATCACTGTTATGAATACTGTTATGAATACTGTTATGAATACTGTCAAGCTCACTATAAGGGACCACTGCTCCAAAATGAAGTCATGTTACTCACTAATAAAATCATCAACCACTTCCCACAAAAAGCAAAACTCTGCTCCCAATATTGACTGCACAAAGCAACATAAACTACTGATGCACTTGCAGCAATTAATCAAAAATCAACATTTCAGGATTTTTGCACATCTCAGGCTGATTTTTCCAGGATTCCAAAGATTCATATTAACCCTTAAACTCTTAGAAAAGACCAAATTGTTCCTTTAACATCAAAATGACAAGTAATGACATTAAAAAAATTCACAAGGAAAATATCAATCAACTCAATTTAGTGCTAAGTTTTAGAATTCCAGGACTTTCCACATTTATGGGGCCTCCTACAAACCCTATGTGGCTTCTCTGATCATTCTCTTGTACTGACTTTTAAGAAGGAATAATATCTCTGATATTGAAAATTTGGTATCAGTTTCAGCCTACCCTTAGCTAACAAGAAGTTTGCTAGTTTACAGAACTAATTGTTCAGGCTGCCTTTACATTGGGGTAAGTGAACCTATTTCCACTTTTACTTCCTGCACGTCGCACCATTATTGTAGGAGAAAGCATTGCTTGACAAATCTCTAGACAATTGTTATTTTAGTATGCTTTCATTATGTCAAAGTTTCTTGTCAAGAAACCAACCTGTTAAATGCAAGCAGGCATCTAACAAATTGTTACTAAAGTGCTCCACTACTATATACATGTAAGTAACAAAAATAGTTACTTGCCCTCCACTAATGTTGATGGTAAGTTCAGAAGAGGTTGAATTACTTCAGGTGCGTATATACCATTCTTTTGCCATAAGTTCAAGACCTTAATTACTTTTCCCTGAAAATTAGAACACAAAAATGAAGTAACAATTTTGGACTTGGACTAAAAGCACATAGAAACCCTTTCCACTGATCATATAACTTTCATAAGTCACAAGTTTGCAAAAGACAAGCAAAATTAACAGGGAACACTACAGTTCAAGAAAAAGTATTTGTTCTCCAGTATATCAGTGATTATGATATCTTTCCCTGACCTGAAAGGGATGGGAAGGGGACAGGATGGCACAGGGTTGGCACAATGCCATGAGTGCTCGCATTACACTGCTGTGGCCTGGGTTCCAATTCCCCGACCTGGCATCACATGTTAGTTGAGTTTGTTTTTGGTTTCCATCTTTGCTCTGAGGGTTTTTCTCTAGGTCCTCTGGTTTTCCTCCATCCACAAGACACAGGAATAGCCTTCTCGTGGAATGACCTTTGCTAGCTTATTATTATCATTATCATTATTATTATTACTATTATTATTATCATTATTATCATCATCATCAATACTATTATTATTACCTGTTCCTCTGGAGTACATCTAAAAATATGCTGAAAGGTTGGTTTTATATTTTTGGCAAAGCGTGGTCCATACACATCTTTCTCAGCACCAAACTACATGTAATAAGAGAACAATCAATGAATGATTATAAAAAAATCATTTGAAATAAAGTCAGAAAACTACAAAAATAGGGAATGACAACCACTGAACTCCCATGAGTGCCCAAGACAGAATTTTTTCATACCATATCAATACAATATTAAGCAGACAAGGGATGAGAATAAAATAGATTGTTTGTTAATCCCATACCACATTCTCTGAACTAACATGATAAGAATTGTATGGCAGACAGTAAGGACAGTTACTATTAAGATCTAGGGATTTAAAGTTTTAACCATAAATTGTCACAGTATAATGCCACCTACCCTCATAGAACCAAATAGAAAAAAATGAAGATTTCAGATCTGAATAACTACTATAATTGTTGGTGGTTTGATTGCTTGACTGAATTGTGTCCAATCATTTGATAAAGTTTATGCCTGGCCTAGTTAGATTAATTGGCTGTTCAATTTGTTTCTTTCAGCATTCTAGGAGATGCAGAATAGGTAATGAAATCTCCCATTTTAGTTCATTCACCTAAACATTTTTTCACTAATTAGTTTAGTTCATTGGGAAATACAAAAATCTAAATATTAGACAACTTCCATTCTCATAGAAACTTCTATATTCTTGAAATTTGTTTCATAATTCAGCTGTTTAAGTAGACTTTCAAAGCGATGATCATATTAACAGTGATATCGACTTTCCAACAAGTAAATGCAAATGAGTTACAGTATGCAAACGTCAAACATCATACAGCCCCAACACATATTAGATCGCAAATAAATGCACATGTCATATTACAAAAAAATTAACACAAAGATTCACCTGGTGTCGCGATTGCCGTATAACAGAATCCATTACATACAGAGCTGGAACTTTATACTCCTGCCGACACTGCAACAACGGAGGAAATTTGAGAAATAAAGTTCACTTGATTCCGAAACTGTCATTAACAAAAAATTAATGATTCCACAATATCATTGACAATTGGAGAAGGACAAGGAATCTGGACGAACCTTTTGAGCAAACTTCTCGATGCTCTGTACCACGTGTTTATAATACTGCAATGAGATGATAGTTAAGTTACTGAGGTAAATCGCTGGAATTTCATAACGTCTCTTTTCGGTTGTTTGTATTATATATGAACACAACGCATACCTTGATGGCTTTAACAGCAAGCCTGGTTACAGATGCAACCTTTGCTTTAGAGATAGGTGGCTTGGTTTCATAGATTGTCGACAGCTGAAAGTATAAATCGAAGCTTACAAGTTTATCGAGGAGCGGAAGAGAACTCGCGAAGCCGCGCAGCAAAAGTGATTTTCATTGAAAACCCTCCGACATGACATCATACTTACTTCACTATTGAACTGCCTTACAATTTCCATGTCCCCCATTTTTGCTTCGGTCGGTAATTTAGAAACTACACAGGAATTGCCCGATAATTTGACTCCATTGTCGGGCAGAAGTAAACCAACATGGCGGAACTTAAAGTGCGGCTATCCCATCATGCTCCTGGGCAAAAATAACCCATGGGGTCCCCTGCTAGCTCCCGTTTTTTGTCATATGCGTAATCAAGTCAGTATCAAAGTTCGTCATGGCCCAAGTAGAGTGGAGGTATTTTCAGTCGTCGCGTGAGAACTTCGCTTGGAAACTTCGCGTGGTTCTCTTAACCTACCCTTTGGCAGTGAGAATGTAACTATGAGCGGTACTTAAACTAATGGAGTTGTTAATGTCGTTTAACCGCGCCGATCTCCAGAAGGTTCTTCACCGGCTACAGTTCTTCACGGTGGCCGGTATGAAGACCTCATCATCCGCATTGATGGATTCAGAATGCCCCGACAGCCCAGGCCTTTGTGAAGAGAGCTCCCTTTTAAGGAAAGCTTGGACATGGATAAAGGGGGTAAGTTTCTACAGAAACTGTGATGCTGTGTTGTTGGGAGAGTATAACAGGGTAATTTAGCATTATCAGCTGAGTTGGTAACGTAAATTAGCCACCGTGAAGAGTTTCAAAGCTGAGGTTTCGAGAGTTAGCCCTTCGTCAGAGCGAAAGGACATAGATGCCTACAGAAAAGGGCCCGAGAGCCCCCACACTAGACCTTTATAGACTGTGTTGGTAAAAATAGAAAATTATACTAGCATTGCTCATTGGTTGAACTGTTCAAGTGATAACATAGTGAGAATCTTTAAGCTTCAAAAACGCGCTGCCCGAGTTATCTTGGAAGCTGATACAAGGTCGAACAGCGTGAAACACTTTAAGAAATTAGCGTGACTCCCTTTTTATGACGAAGTCAAGTTAAATAAGAGTATTTTAGTTTTTTTTAACGTTTACAAGGAAGCTGTCCTGCATATATGTACGATCCACTCAAATTGAATGCAGACCTACACACACGAACTGGTCGTTATGGTAAATTAAATTTCGCCTGCCCTCGTTTCAATCGCGAAACCGAGGGAGGGAGGAAGGACCTCTAGCGTATCTGCGACTAGGCTGTGGAACCAAATACCCATTAAACTGAAAAAAGGGGCGACAACAGTTGCTTCTTTCAGAAAGGCCTTTCACAGACATCTTCTAACGAGCTACGATGAAGTAGAACATTTCAGTCCGAATGTGATTTAACCTGATCCAAGCGGCATATTTTATTTTATCTGTTTATTTTTAGCTTGCATCCTTACAGATCTGTTGACCTGTTTTTATAATCCTCGAATACATTTTAATTCTACTACGGTACTTTTAGGATCGATGGCCACTAGTTCATCAGTTGAATTACTGTTGTGTATTACCCTCCATAAATAAAGTTGTAATTATTATTATTATTCCAAATTATGCTCAAGATTATAGCCGTTTTTTAAAATTATACTTCATTTCCTTAAAATATGCCTTTCAAAAAAAAGAAATACAAAACAAGTGTAAATTACGTAGTTTTTACTCATAAAGCATTTTAGAACCTTCTTTATGTGAGTTACATAGATGTTTAGCGATAAGACAACTCAATTCCGGACTAGATGCGGTGACTTAATAATTATGTCAAAATGCTCGGTGTTTGTGACAGTTTGCTCTTCAACGCCATTTTGGTTGTGTGTAAAAGCGGCTTTAAGCGGGAACTGCATGGAAAAGACGCAAGCTTTACTTCCGGTGTGCCCTGTCCTGTAGACAATGAACGACTCAGTATTGCGGTAACCTTCCTCCCCAAAGACATGGCAAAATTGAATCTAAACTGAACCATGAACTAAACTTGAAAATCATCAATCTTAGAGATCAAGAAAGTCATGACTCTGGTGAGTTTACCGTAACGGATTACACTACCTAGCAGCACTACTCTCAAAAAAATGGAAAAATGCTTGCACTAAGTGGTTTACTTTCCTCGAACCAAGACCTAAAACGGCCGACATCACTCAAATAATGTTTTGTTTGGTAAAAACATGTCACCCAGGCCAATGCGTGGAAAATTTCTTTTTCATATGCAAATGAAAAAGGAGAGCAGTAGGTGTTACAGAAGTAGAATTTGAAATAATGAGCAATGATTGGTGTAAGCGAAAATTTTGCGCCTTTGAACGTAATCTCCTCGAATTCCAACAACCTTTTCTACTGTCATGCGCAGCTCAACCGATCTGAAAATCTTTGGATGGCAAATGGTAATTGTAAACGGTAATTGTTTACTTTACGACACTGAAAAGTTCGGATTCGTTAGAAATCCTTCATTTACAATTACATTTGGTGACTGTCTTAGTCATTGTTCATGGAAGACAGTTACAAACATGGTGCAGGTCTTAAGAGCGAAGTTGGGACGAGTTTTCTTAGAACATTTATTGCAAAACCCCTGCGAACTGATCACATATCGGATCCAGACTTCACCAAGTTACCAACAGTTTACAACTTTAAACAACCGTGGGCTGGTTTGAGTCGTTCATTAGAATGGGTGACGCGAAAGGAGAAAGACCCTGGTGTTCAACATTTCCGCAAAATACCTGGACCGGCTTCGGGTTACAACATGGTAAAAGAGACTTTTAGTTACTAGAAAGTTGCAGCGTGATAAAATTTTATACCGATGAAATGGCAAACAAGTGTGAGACATATATTGGCACAAAGTTCCTACGATTACTTTATATGATTCAATTTTTGTCTTGTAATGCGTATTCATTTTCGCAAACAACGTCTCTTAGATTTCGATATCATCAGAAACATCACGTTACCTAAATCTAAATTTACACTAAATTACATGTTTTATCTAAAAACCGAGTAGATATGTATATGAATGACGACAAACCATGTATCTTTACTATTACAAACATCTTCAACATTTCATGAAAACTATGACTACGATTGTAATGGATAAAGAGGTATTTCTAATTAACACAGTTCTTGTTTTCTTTTGTTTAGTTCAAGGTCATCAGAGGTGGGAAATAGCGAGTTTTAGATGGAACAGAACAACTGACTTTGTACGTGATTACCAAAGCGGACACTCCTCGTTTGGAAACTGTGACAGCGACCAAGGTTCCTGACCACTGAAACAAGATCTTCGAGAAATGGGTTATTCTGGCCTCCTTACCTAGATGTGCTATTTATTTTCATCGAGGACCGTTGGAAGCTTTGAAAAGTAAGAGAAAAATTGGGACCCAGTGTACCTCACATGTGCTCCTGATCATGAAGAAAACCAAACAGACTTCAAAGTAAGTTGCTTTTTTATTTTTTTAAGGTGAAGCTAGCTTCAAAGAATTATCTCCGCCATTAAAAATTATACGCAACAAAATAGACTTCTTCGTTTTAAATTTTCGTTTAAACTAGCTAGCTAACTATTGTGGGTAAAATTTCCGCACAGGCCCATACTATTGTAAAACAAATCTGTTTTCCCAGTGGCGATGTATTGTTTTTGTTATTTTTTTCTCTATCCAAGAACTGAATGCATGATGTAGTATGGGGCTGTACGGAATTTCGTATTTCTGACTTCCATTTGCGGCTATCAATTTAAAATTTTTCCATTTCGAACCTCAGACTTAAGATTTCGGACATTCCAGTTCGGAGTTCTGAGTTCTATTCCCGACATCAGACTTCGCATTTTGGAAATTTGATTTCGGAGTTTTTTTGCCGGCTATTGACGTATGATTCTCTGACTTCCGGCGTTGGACCTCTAATTGTCTACCTACAACTTCTAAGCCTTCTTTGTCCTAATCTCTGACTGAGAACTTTTAAAATCGGACTCTAATTCATCAATTGTTACATGAAGACTTTCGACTTAAAAGCTCAATACTTTTCCAAGTTCGACTCTGAAGTATCATTTTCAAAGTCCATTAACTAGAGAGGTCCAACTTTCTTCTTAAATCAATATTATAAAATCAAGATATGAGGAAATTATTAAATTTTAAAAGAGAGAGGTACAGCA